AGTAAAATAATCGACCAAAGTTAAAAATACTCTTAAAAACAGTGACCACAGTCTACATGGAAATATAAATGAGATTTCTATAACGCCTGTAAGGACTATTTTAGGTGAATGTGAAAAACAGCCGGCTGTTAAAAACGGGAGTGCTTGCTTCAGGTTTTCTCATAATCTTTTGAGAATGGATGAAAATGGGCTAAAAATTATGTATCAGCATTAGTATGCATAGCAAAGTGCCCGCCATGTTTTATTTTTTATTCTAATGCGGATGTAATACAATTGCAATGAGGACGTTTCAGTACTAATGTTTTCCCAAGGAGGGAACCAGATCAAAGGGTGGTACTTAGCCAAGCACTTGCAAACACCAAACACTTGTGCCTTTGCTCTTCGGTGGAAGCTGGACAGTTAACCTAGAAATTAAATCAGGGAACTGGACCCGCTGGTGGTTGCTGCTTTTTGTTATTAGTTTGAGACAAGGTCTCTCACTTTGCAGCCCTGGCTGAACTATCCTAAGTTCTGGGGTCAAAGCTGGGGACAGTGCCTCCCAACCTGAACTGTCAAGAGCTGAACCTGTTCCGAGCCCAAGAACTATTTAAAGGAACCCCAGCGTCTCTCCGGCACGCCGCCGAGTACTACCTCGGCCAGGCCACCAGGGGGAGAGTCCCTGCAATGGCCCAGGTATAGAACCAGGAGTCCGTTAAGCTACCCAGGGACCCTGGTTAGCTATGAAGAACCTTTGGCATTCACTGAAGGACTCTGAAGGCTGATAAACCTCGGTGGCTCGTAGCCTTGCGGCCATCCGTGCACTGCTGAGAGCCAGATTAGACGCTGTCTTGTGCGTGATCAGCTCCACAGCTCACGGACCTCTGGAAGGGGGCGCAGAGCCACTGCTACACCTGAGTCACCAGGGCCCTGGGCGCGATGATGGAGCATTGGGGGGGACGGGGAGGCTTTTGTCCAACTAGGCGGAAAGCGACGAAGACGACTGCCAGAAGAATAAACAGCTCATAGCACAACTCTCAGGCTCTCATAAACCGTTGGACCTGACACCAAAGCAGTCGGCAACCCGAAAGCCTCATTGGCTGCACTGTGGGGACTTGTCCAATCAGAAGAGCCCAATAAGTCACCTCATTTGCATATCAGCGGGGGTTCTATTAGATCGGCCTTTTCTGTCCGTTTCTTTCAAGACAAGGATTCCTCCAAGGTCCCTACTTTCCCAGTTGGAGAGAGGTGATTTTTCTCCTTTGCCAGGACACAGAGCTGTTCACAAGCGAGGGCTGCCTCGCCCTTACACCTACTAATGAGATTTAGGAGTGCCTGTAGCAGCCCCACGGAGTGGCGTGGGGAGACTAGTGTTCAAAGGCAGGCCTTTGCAGTGGATAGGAGGCACGACCCTTCATGACTGAGCCCATAGTCAGTGCCTCGTGTTGACCTATAGTCAGAGGCCACCAAACACCCATGGAACCTTTTCCTCAGGACACTAAATAGGGAAAGCCTCTCTGAACTTCAGCTTTCCAGGGACAAGTTCAAAGCAAAAACACCGAAAGCAGAATGCCCTGAGGTTTGCTCACTTCCTTTAGAGCTGTGGGTGGGAGCTGCGCTTTGCCTGCAGCACAACTCTGGCTAGGGCTGAGGAAGCCAAGAAGTGCTGAATTGAGACAAGCTGGCCTTGTCAAAGGACACCAGCATTTTTTTACTGACCCAGCAGTGAGCTGAGAATAGCGGACATCCTGAAGTAAGGCAATGTGCTCAGTAGGGCCGGTGTAGGAAGGGAAAAGGGTGTGGGGGAGGCAAGGGAAATGAGGGGCTGGACTAGAAGGCTGGATGCACTGAGGCTTGTCCAATCTGAAGCCAAGGGATCGAATTTTAGACACCCTAGTCATCAGAATGACAATCTTTACATTTATGAAAGGAATCAGTGCTTGTCCTGACACAACTCCCCAGCAAGATGCCTGATCCTGCTGCAGCCACCCTTGATTGCACCCCCTCACAACCCAAAATGAAATCTTGCTGAAATCCAGACTTTATTCTGTTAGAGCTTAATCCCAGTTGGCTTGTATGCTGTGTCAGTTTTTATTAGCGCTTAGCCTTGTCTCCTAAAAATTCCTTAACAGCACATTCCTTTTCACAGACGACAGTTTAACAGAGAATCTTTGTTTCAACTTAATTATCGATCTCTAAATTAAAATTCTCTTATGGAAATAAAGCAACTCACGTGGGCATCAAGAGGCACAAAACTTGTGTGGATTTTTAGCATCTTCTGGTTATTTACGGACCTTTGCTTGAGAAAACTAGATGGATGTGAGAACTGGCCTTTGAACTGACCTGCCCAGGGACAGCTGTTGCCAGCCCTCACTTAACTATGAGGTGACGGGGACAGACAATGACGTTAGAGCCACAGCCAGTTTCACTGAGGAAGAAATATCAAAGGTTCCACCCAGAACCTCACAAAACATCTCAAAAGAGAAGTGAAGTTCACTTGCAGTCTGCAGGGGAGGTGCTGCCAGAGAACCTCCAGAGCCTCAGTACCCAAATAAATGACTTGCACATTGGAATACAGTCAGCCTGCTCAGGGGATCCACACCTATGGATTCAATTAAGAGATCAAAAATAACCAGAAAACAAAAACACCTGTCATCTAGAATGTATTTCATACTTTTGACCTCACCATTTTCCCCAAACCGTATAAAACTAGTTGATGGTATCGGTTATATTAGACATTTGAAGTAATTTAGAGACTTAGAGAACACCATATGCTGCATGTAGATAATAGACAGGCTTGCACTTAAAAGATTTTGGTATTTGAGCACTAGGACCAGGCCCCAGTGGGCAGTCACCATATACCCATAATTCTGTACTGATCAACTGTATTGTCTGTTATCTAGCATGCACACTACTTATAAGGCTCTACTCAACAGACTGTTAACAGCTGCAGTACACCCAAGGAAGATCAGACTGAAATATGCCTTAAAACCTGGCTGTTTTCCATACAAGGAAGCCTGCAGGAAAAGCAAACAACAACAACAAAAACCAACAAAAACTTGCTTTTCCCCCTTGTTTGGCGTTTGGGTGGGGGAGGGGTGTGCAAAACTGTTCTCCTGTAGCCATTAGATGCATGACAGTAATCCTGCCTCAGCTTCCTAGGTGTGGCCATGCCCAGCTCTCCCTACCTTCTCTCTTCTTAGTCTTTTTTGTTTGTTTGTTTGTTTTTGGAGACAGGGTTTCTCTGTGTAGCCCTGGCTGTCCTAGAACTCACTCTGCAGACCAGGCTGACTTCAAACTCAGAGATCTGCCTATTTCTGCCTCCCAAGGGCTGGGATTAAAGATGTGAGCCACGTGCTCAAAGATCTTTTCGAAGTTGGTATTGTCTTCACTCCCCATATCCCAATCTCCACTTCCCATCTCACAGGCAACCTGCCCTTTGAGTTCCATTGATGCCGACACTGTCTCCCAGCATATCAGACCTGCACCTTATGGATAGTGTTCAGATAAATGATCCCTATCAAAACAATGCAGTCCACCACCAAACTGTACTTACCTTTGTAGACAAAACAGTCAAAAGGATGGACACATCTGTATGGACCATTTGTCACTTTTTGGTTTTTTTTTTTTAAACTTAAACCATGGTCCCCTGAAGCCCCACTCATGTACAAACATGTTCAGTTCATCTCTTCTGTGCCACGGGCTGCATCCTCCACATGACCTCCCCAACTCCCCAGCAAGGAAGCCCATTGGCTTGTCTTCTGATGCTGTGGTGAGCACAGTATGCACTGCCTTGAGGGCCTGGAGATGGATGCCCTTGGCTCACTGTGCCTCTAAATCTGTCAAACTCTGAGAGCTGACATTTACCCAGCAGGAAAGTGGGGGAATAGAGCATGGCATCTTTGGGATTCTGCCTTTAGGCTTCGGCTGTCACTGTGAAATCTGTCCTATCACTATTCTTAGGAAGGTGTGACCTTGAGGAATGATGTGTTATAAGGGTGCAACCTCACACACAGGATCCATGCTCTAGGTATCTGTACCCTTAGAGACCTTCCATTCTTCCCATGAAAGCACAGGGAGGACATCTGTGAGACAGAAAGCAGGCCTCACCAGACAGAATCTGCCACCAAACCTGATTCAGGATGTCAGCTCCCTCAATGGTCCAATGGTGGAAAAGGACAAAGCTGGCCAGTGCCAGGAGAAACCAGAGAAATAGCAGTGCACAATGACAGCGCAGGGTCTGGTGGGTCCTGGTGCTGAGGCACTCAGAGTCCCAGTTCTGGAATGCACCGGGGTTATGGGGGGTATGGGGAAACGTTCTGTGGCACCCATTTAGGGTACTGTTGATAGTATGTATGGACTGCAGGTTACTAACTGGCAAGCAGGGATGTGGTGAAAACTTGAGGCTTTCTCAATGTAAGACTACACTTTACACATGCAGTCCATCTGCTGAGAGTCACAGGGCATGTCCATCAGGGGCCAGAGGTGTTTACTTAGACAAGGTCATAGGTTTTTCTGGACCAATGCTAAGATCTGAGGGACAAACTCATCACTTGTTTCTGGGCTACGAGGTGGCCAGTGCCAGACTGCCTGGCATTCTCTACACCTGCCATTCCATTTGCTTAATTTTCATTTCACTGCTCTTGCTGCCACCTGCATCTGTTTCTGCCTTCCTGTTATTCCTTGGTTCACAGGGACGCCCCACCCTTGGCATTCAGTCACCGGGATAGGAATGGGACCGGTCTGTTACCTTCCAGCCCTGGGTGCATCTGTTTTGCTGACTACTAAGGTTGGGCATGCTAAGCCAGAGTCCTCTCACCAGGATGTCTCCTCTTGGTAACGCTTCCTGGATGCAATTCCCACAGCTAATGTTGGGCTCAGCGTGACACCTGCCCTCTCTCCCCAACAGTCCCAGTGACAGTCTGCTTATCTTGCTTTCACAAGTACCGAAGACCCTGGACCCTGGTCAAGGGCAGGGTGAAGCAGCTGTGTGGACACAGAATAGGAGGTATGGAAACAGAGGCTGGAGCAAATGACTTTATTCAGCACTGAAAACCCAGCCCACCTGGGAATCAAGCTGGAGTCACTCACTACATCCAAGGCGGGGACTTCTGAGGACAGAACACTGTTACCCAAAAAACCTAAATAGCTCTATGCCTTTGGCCCCTGACCTTTGTCCACTCTGCTGGGTTTCGTTTCTTGCACTAGATTATCTACACACATGATGCTGCAGGCAACCACGCTACCGCTACGTCACAAGTTTTGTGAATTCACCTACTGGAGAAAACATGAGGTGAGAGAAAGCCAAACTACAGCGAAGTGAAGCACCAGGTGGCCGGAGAAGCCACCCCTGCTGCTCTTGTGCAGGGAAGATCCCTGCATGAGAGGTGGTGAAAATTGGGGAACACTTTGGGGATGCCAGTGACACCCAAGTAATAGGCTGGAAGGAAGAGAGGCCAGGAAAGTACGAAGACGGCTCCTAGGATCTGGTACAAGACCCCAAGGGAGGGAAGGAGCCCTCTGGAGGGCGGAAAATCCCCCCCCCCTGCAGGGTCCCAGCCAAACCCCAAGGCCTCCTGCATTACTATTCCCTGGCACTAACACTGGCTGACGTAACTGGTATGGCCTCAGAGCCAACCCTGTAAGGGCACCAATGGGGCAGGTGCAAGGTTTGGTTCCTAGATGAAGCAGGGGCTTCAGAGCTGTCAGGTGGTCTCGGGCAGAGTTGGAACACACTGGGAAAGGAATCCCAGGATTGGTCGGTCTCTACGAGGAACAGGTACAGGCCCAAACAAGCACATTCATGCCCCAAAGAAAATAAGAAAACACTGCTGAACAATCAAACTATGTTGACCAAAAGCGGGGCACCTTTGACGCTTCATCCCAGGCCAACGTGCTATCAGTGTGGATGGAGATGGGATCTGTCGAGGATGAAGGGTGGTAGCAGGCAGCGGCCTGAGAGATGTAGGTAGGGGTGCTGCAGGCCGGTGGAAGGTGGTTCCGTCTGCCTCGTGCTCCAGGTGGCCAGCCTGCTGTGCCAGCATCATCACTGCAGGAAAGGGAGAAACAAACAAAGGAAAAGACAGGGAAATGGAAAATGAAGGGTGATACAGAGATAAAGACAACAATGAGGCAGAGACTGCTGCTCTCCTGAGCACAGCACACCCAGAACCCAGGTGACTTGACAACCCATCTAAACTGGGTCTAAAGCTTGTGTATCCAAGGCTGTATAGCCCCCAAGTAGCTAATGGATATGTGGAAAGGGGGATACCTCAGCTACAGGTGGCTGCCGATGCCACATTATAAGCCGAGGCTCAGACTGCCACATGGGCTGCCTCAGGTGTTGGCCCAACCCTTGAGGCAGAGAGGAGAATGGGAGAAGATGGAGGGGATGTCCTGACTGCTCCTATCCACAGTGCCTGAGGAGCAAAACAAAAAAACCCAAAAAACCCACCCTCCCATGTAAGATCCAGGGACATCTCTTCTCTTCCTGAGTTCCAAGTTCCTTCCTACCACTTTCTGCTTTCCCCAACCACATTCAGACATAGGCCACAGCAGTCTTGCCCTGAAGGTAGTCTCCCTTCCCCTGGGGCTCTGAGCAGACCAGAGATCTGCTGTGGAGAGAAGTGCTCAGGCCGCCCAGGCGGTACCTGCAGAAGCATGCTAAGGCCCAGGTTACGGTGCTTCTTCTCCAGCTCTGACACAGCCTGCAGCAGGGACCGGAAGCGTTCTGCTGGGTCAGCTTGCTCATCATCCTCCCAAGCACCCTCATCCTTCTCAGCCTCTTGCAGAAAGTGTTCCTCCTCCTCCACGAAGAAAGCCCGAAGCTTCTTGTAGTCAGTCAGGGCTTTCTTTCTTCGGTCCATGACATGGCCCTGCAGAGTGAGTGGGGAGGGACAACACTCTACACTGGACCCACCCACTGCTACTGTGTCTAAGGACAGAGAACCCCCACCTACTCTGAAAGAAATTAAGACACTTCAACAGACGCTGGCCAGATTACAGGTGAGAGAAGATTCTCTTTCCCTGAAGTGAAATCTCCACATGATAGATGACCCTGGTTGGCCCTCATGGTTAGGTTATCTAAGTTTGGTCCCAATGTGGTGAGGTGTAATGGACAGGGCCTTTAAGATAGGGGACAGTGGTTAGGTCACTGATGGATGTACCCTCCAAAGGGACTGATACTGGTCTCACAGGCTACCAGATGGATCCCAAGGCAGCTGGCTGTTACACAGAGAGCAATATTAGGTCCACACACTTCTACCATGAGGCCCTCACTAGAGACCAGTAGACAGGGCCTTTTGGTCTTTGATGTTTGGTTTCTAGAACTCATATAACTTGCCTTCTTTACACAGTACGCAGTCTTGGGTATTTTTGTTACAGCAGCAGCAAAAGGCTAATGTACTCCCCGGTACAAAGCAAAAGGAGTGCCATTCATACCAAGGACAGAAGTGGAAATGGAGAAGATGCCGAACAGCCCGTTAAGATAATTCTTTTCTTTTCTGCCTCTTATGACTGGTTCCAGGAAATGCATCCCTAAGACACTAAAGTGTATGGATGCTCGAGTACCTTCCACAAAATGGCCTAGCACTGGCACACAGCCTGTCTGCACGCTTCCATGTGCTTCAGATCATCTCTACTTGGCACAATCTACCTAACACAACATACTATAAGGAGCTGTTCTACTGAACTGTGACTACAAAGAAGCCTATCATTAAGTACAACCACACAGCAGCCACAGGCTTATGTCCATTTGTGGTGCTCACTTTGCACGATTATATTCAGGGCCTCTTACCTACTGGACAAGCATTCCAGCCATCAGCCACATCCCGTTTCTGATTACAAGTCTGTCCAGTGCTTGTTAACCCACATACACATGTTCTGTTTATACGAAGACCTCACTCACAGCTTCCCAAAGTCGAAATCTGAGACCCAAGTCCTGTCAGAATACACAGCTACCTTCCACCAGCCTCTTTTCCTACGATAGCAAAACTCCATCCAGCCACACTTCACACAGCCGAATATGGACAACAGGACTAGAAAAGGACACACTCCTAACTTCACTCAGATCTTCAGCCTGAACCACACAACACGGGGACACCCATGTTCCTGAGGGAAGGCTGGTTCTGCTGAACGGATGTAAGTGCCCGCCAGATAACTGCTCTCTGGCCAACCTCCTCCAACTGACTACACGATCCTCATCTTCATATTTAAAACCTCAATTGGCTGGAACTTGTCCTTGGAATGACTGTGGGCTCCTAAAAAACTAGACATCCTCAAAGCTTTCAGTTTTTCTGGGAGGGGTAGGGGACAAGAGGCTTCAGCCTTGAGGTGCAGGCCACCTGAGCGCTTTAGGGCTTCTGTAGTTACAAAACCACTTTGGTTTTCTGTTTAAAAAAATGGGGGTGGGGCACAAACTGTAATGAACTTTAATGTATAAAAGGAAAAGGTGCCAGAGTTTAAACTAATGTGTGGTTTTGCTGAAAAGCAACCTTAAAAAACTGTGACATGATAGATGGTACCAGATGAAGGCTAGCTGCTATGTACCAACTCTGTGTCCCCCAATTCCCTGTGCTGAAACCTCCAGGCAATGGTGGTTAAGTGGTGGGCCTTTGGGAGGTCATTAGTCCCACCAAAGTGGAGATGGGATCAGTGAGCCAGTAAAAAGGACCCCCGGCAAACTCCTCCCCTCCCCTCCATGTGATACAATGAGAAAGGCCACCAAAAAGTAACCCTGACAGATACAGACTTGGCATGGCTTGCCTGTAGACTTCCAGTCCCTAGGGCAATAATGTCTGTGGTTCTGTGTGGCAGCCAGAAAACAGCATGTTCCACTGGTGACAGCAGGGGCTGGTCAGAGTCAAGAGTACTACAGTGTCCTGTGTAGAAAAGGAAGCTGAAGCTGACAAATCACCCTCATGTACAGCAAAACAAGAGGCTCCCTACTGACTTCTGGCTTGACTGTATCCTAGGACAGTGCCCAGGCATTTATCAAGTCTACTTTCAGGGCCTCCTCCAGCCAGCCGAAGAGCAGCTTAGTCTGGCTGCCCCGCTGGTTCTCCCTATCCAGGAGACCCCGCTTACCTTCCACACAGCAGCCGCTGATTCGGCCTGACCATGCAGGTCCCGGGCATCATTTAAGTCCTTCCTCATGATTTCCACAGAGCCCTTGTTCTCCTGGAAGAGAGAGGCCGCTCATGGACTGGGAAGTAGGATTTGGACACCCAGATCAGCAGTCCAGACACACTTGCCACTGGAACCACTTGTCCCATCTCTGGCTGCTGGAAAATGTTTCTGGTTTTTAAAAGGGTCTCCTGTGCCTCCCACTTCATCAGAACTAGGTACACAGCAGACATTTCTAGGTACGGATGTGTAATTTCAGGTCTTTAGATAGGTCCCCTTTAGTGTCAGTTTGACTTAGACCAAGGCTTTCCCTCCAACTTGTGTACTGCTTCATCTCCGTAGAGACTGCTGTTTTAGAAAGGGCACAACAAACTGCAGGACAATCCTAGCAGCATGTTTTCTGGTGGAGTACCTACTCCAGGTTGGGACCCCTATGTAACCACTGGCCTCACCTTAACAATGTCCTTCACAACCTATTCTTGGGCATCATGGTGCATCCTTCCAGAACATAGGGCTAACAGTACCCTCAAATACCCTATGTTGGAGGTTCCTTCTGCAAGGCAGGGAGCAGGCATTGATGACTTCCTAACTGGCTACTTAGAAATAGGCACCCTGTCCTCTCTGCCCAGGGATGATAATCCAGATCCCTGGGACCCAGCTTTGCCTAGATTAGTGGTCAGTTTCTGCCCAATGGCAAGTGCCACATACAATGACCAAGAGAGCATAGCTAAGAAAGTTACAGAATGAGGTGGATTGGCAGCGCGTCAGGGGATGGGGGGCTGCAATGGATAACAGGCAGACGGAAGCCCACAGAGGCCTCCAGCACAAACCTCAGGGCTCCTCCAGCAAGTGGATGGGCGGGGCTTGCCTCAATGAGGTCACAGCCCGGTAGAAGGAAGAATCCTACAGGGATGGGAATCCGGACTGAGAATAAGTCTAAATCTAACGGTGTTATAATCTAAACGGTGGCAAAGGTAGGCCAGACACCCGGGATGAAAAGCATGCTCTAGAGATGAGAGAGCGAGGAACACAGCAGGATCCGGGAAAGAGATAACAGAGATGGGGGAGGGCAAAACTCACGGACTCCACGATTCAAGGGCACTAGGCATGGCAGGGACCCCCGGGGAAGGGAGGGTGCAGGGCTGAGGAGCACCAGAGAGACTCGCGGTGTGGAGGGTGCGGGAGAGGGAAGAGGGGGTCAGCGCACTGATGGAGAGACCGACTCCGGGTAAGGCACAAAGGTGGGCAGCGTGCAGGGCCGCCTCGGGCGCGCACCTTGCCGCGCATCGCCTTCCTCCAGCGCGGTTCCCACTCGGGCGGCTCCGGGCCAGCGGCCATGCGGCAGGCGGAGCACAGCGGATCCCCGTCGGCGCGGCACAGCAGCTGCAGCGCGGCCTCGCTGGCAGGGCCGTCGCGTGCCGGCGCCGCGGCCGCCTCCTCGAGCGCCAGGAGGCGGCGGCTGAGCGGAGGGCGGCCGGGCTCCACGGCGCGCTGCCAGCAGTCATCGGCACACTCGGGGCACGGGAAGGGCCCGTCCTCCTCGGCCCAGAAGCGCACCACGCACGACCGGCAGAAACGGTGGCCGCAGTCGGCGCGCACCGGCTCGCGGGGCGCGCGCTGGCACAGGGCGCAGACGGCCTCAGCGGGACCCGCGGGGAGCGCCAGGGCTGCGGGTGGCGGCGCCAACGAGGGCGCGGGCGGAGAGGGCGCAGAAGGGGCCGGGAATCGGCCGGACAGCGAGGCCGACAAGCCTCAGCCGACGACTCCGACCCGGACTGCGCCAACGCCGGGCACGCGCGCGCACGGGGCGGGGTCCTGCCTGCCGTGCGCTCTGACGTCCAGGTCCTGGCAGCTGCGCGTTTCTCCATCCAGGTCCTGGCAGCTGTGTGCTCTCCATTCAGGTCCTGGTAGTCGCGCCCCGCCCCACCCAGGTCTGAGCTGCTGCGCGCTCTTGCACCCTGGTTCTCGTAGCTGCTCACCTCTTTGTCCTGATGGTGTCAGTAGTGGGCTCCAAACCCAGATCCAGACAGCGATGCTCTTTGTGCCCTGTAAAATCACTCCATCTCCAGGGTTCTACCACAAAATCATGGATAACTGCCCATACTCCACACCTAATTTGGGAGGTGGTCTGTGAGGGTGACTTATCGCTATACCTTCAGCCCAGAAGTGGGATAAGACAGGTTAGGAAGACCGAAATTCCTAAAGTGATTAAGGTGCCTAGGTAGCCAAGCAGGAGTCTGACCAGATTAAAAAAGAGAGCGACCCGAAGTGAAGGCAGAAATGCTCAATGTGCACACAGAATAGCGGCACATTTTGCAAGAAAGCACGCCAAAGAATATTGTATAAGTATAGGTTAGTCAGCTCTCCACGACTTAGGACTCTTCTTCAGACTGAAATTAAAAACGTGCTGTAAATGCGATGTTGCCATTTATATGTACTAAACATAACTACAGCAGCCACATCTGTACTAAAGCCGTGCAGTCCTTTTCTGGTTATTATTTCCTAAATAATAGAAAAATATTTACACAGTATTCATATCCTGTTAAGTATCACAAGTCATGTAGAAAAAAATTAAATTAGAAAGATGCACGTAAACATTCTGTTTAAGCTGGGTATAAGGGGCACATGCAGTTAATCACAGCACTCGGGAGTCATAGCGGGCAGATCTCTGTGAGTTCTAGGCCAGCTTGGTCTACACAGCGAGTTTCAGGGAAGCCGGAGCTACACAGTGAGACCCTGTCTCAAAAAAAAAAAAAAAAGTGTGTGTGTGTGTGTGTGTGTGAGAGAGAGAGAGAGAGAGAGAGAGAGAGAGACATTTTATATGAGGGATTTGAGTGTCCTTAAATTTTGGTATCCTTGGAGCTTACAGCCAACCTTGTCAACAGATATGACATATATATGCGTATATATATACACACATCAGAGTGTAAAAGTATATGTATAATATATATATATATATATATATATTATATATATATACACTCATCAGAGTGTAAAAGTCTGGCCATGGCCATATCCAATGTGGCTCCCAAACCCTGCTGCTCAAACCCTGGGCGGTACGCATCCTAGACAATGGCTCTGCCTATAATCCTGGTACTTGGGAGATGAAGGCAGGGAAGCTGTGAGTTCAAGGCCAGTTTGAACTAATAGCAAGACCCTGGCTTATAAGAAAATCTGAACCAAACAAAAACATAGCAGGAATGGAAAACAGTGTGTTGCTGTCTTTCACTGAAGCCTCTCTCCTCTTTTTAAATTGTTTAAATTTTAAATTTTTATTTTGTGTGTGTGTGTGTGTGTGTGTGTGTGTATGAGTGTTTTGCCTGAAGATATGCATACGCACCGTATGTGTAGCCAAAGAGGCTGGACTTAGAGACAGTTGTGAGCTGCCACGTGAATTCTGGGAAATGACCTCAGGTCCTCTGTAACACATTCAAGGGCTCTTAACCACTGAGCCATCTCTTCAGTGTCTTCTTTCCTGTCTTAAAGCCTGTGCTTAAGACTGTACTAAACCCCTTTCCTTTAAAAAAAAAAAAAAAAAAAAAAAGATTTTATTTATACTTACGTGTATGTGTGTGTGTCCACATGCCTATGGGTGCCTGTGGAGGCCAGAAGAGGACACTGAATACCATCGAGCCTGAGGTACAGGAAGTGGCGAGTCACTCAACATGGGCACTGGGGAATCCAGCACTAACCCTCTGCGAGAGCAACTTAAATGTTGAGCCATTTCTCCAGCCCCCAAACTGTCTAGGAATAAAATATAATTCTGATTCAAAGAAAATTTCATCAAACCAGTTACCTAACAACTACTACGTTTTAAAATATTTTAGATGTAATAACAAACATTTAAAATTTTAAAATTTGTTAAATTATTTAAGACCCTAAAAATAAAAAAAAAAAAAAAAGCAGACAGTGGTGGCACACACCTTTAATTCCAGCACCCCGAAAGCAGAGGCAGGAAGAGCTCTGTAAAATAAAAATTGATCCTAAAATTTTCACTATACCTATGGTGTTTACAAATATAATAATGATGTGAAGAGTTTGAACTACTCTGTATCTTTCTGACACAATTCCCTCAAACTGACCAAAGCAAACTGGGTTTTTGTTTACAGGGCCCTGAGTAAATGAATGATAGACTACAAATGAATGGATTATAGGGTTCTGAAGTAAATTTGTGATTAATAATCAAGTGGATAGATATAGGGCTCTTAATGATTAACAGGAGACTGAAGTGGAGGGATATAGCCCAGCATGGATGAGAGAGGGCATTGTGGATAGATCATAAAGAAATGGACGGATGACGGGGACCCATTTATTTACTTCAGAAATAGAATAAAGGTAATCGGTTTGATACAGTTTTCTATATTTGTAATGGTAAAAACCTGAATAACAACCAAAAGAGACTCTCTAAGAGTAGTATTGGGAAGAGCAGAGCATCACGAAGGGACCACAAACCATTGCAAGCAAGGAGGCTGAAGCGAATAAAATTTGAAAGGCAGGAGAGGAGGATCATTTCAGATGTTCCTAAACACAGGTCTTTGGCCATGAGAAAGCTGTGGGCAATGCCGCCGTAGCACTCTCAGTGTGTGGTGGCTGTGTCCCCTGAGCGAGGCTGTGGTCCTGGCAGAGCCTTCTGAGATGGTCTGGCGTATCTGCTTTACAATTGTGTATTTTTGGTCAGGGCTGACATTGTGTGACTTCTGGGAAGGTGTGAAGACATGTCTATTTGCCCCAGATAGGGCACCACTCTATCAAAGAAATAATTCCACCAAGTCCGATTACTGACAGGACGTGGGAAAGGGTTACTTGTGGGGTCACGGGTGAATTAACATTTACGTTATCGAGAAGTCCCACCTCAGCGTAGGTGGTAACTCAGGAAAGCTGCACCATGGGAGTCCCCATCTCCAGCCAGCCTTCCACTCCTTATATATTCCAGTAGGAACCCCCAAGACCATCGCGGCATAGATGTGGGTACCCGCTCTTCCTGCGACCACTACTGTAAACCTGGATGTCATTCATTCTCCAGGTCGCCACAGCATCTCTAGTCCATGATGGCCTACGGTCATGTCAAGCCAGGAGGAAATCACGTCACCACAACAAAGAGTAGCCCCGGTTTTGGTTCTGCCAGCTTTCACAGTGTCATTGGTCTCCTGCTCTGTTGGCAGAACCACACCTGAATTAGTGTGTGTGTACATGTTTATATACATATACAGGTATGAATTATATATACGAACATATATAATATACATTCAGATAAGCGCCTTGGCTGCGGGATTAGGATGTGGATGCAGTACTTGGTGTCCTGTGCACAGCAGGGCCTTTCCAAGGGGAGAAAAGTAATGAAGAAGTCCCAACACCCAGGACTGCAAGAAGGCACACAGGGAAGGATGGAGGCTCTCAGGGCAGGTTGGGGGAGGGGGGATTATCAGTTGTTTTCTGCAACTGTGACTGAGTACCACAGACTGAATAATTTACACAGAAAAGAGCATCCGGGCTCCTAACCCTGAGAAATCCAAAGCTGACGGGGTGCATCTGGTGACAGCCTTCTTTGGGGGAAATTCTGCCCACGGGTGACACGGGGCCGGAAGCACCAGTCCTGACTGAAAAAGACGCCAGCAGTAACCCACAAATCCATTCTTCCAAGAGCGGACTAACCCAGTCCAGGGGTCTGGGACGATTTCAGGGCGTTGCCTTCAATGCACCCTCCTACTGGGCTGCTTTGTCTGCGGTCCCTGTGGCTTTCCCCTAGGTCTTTTATTCCAGAGGCCTTTAGTTTTGCTATCTGGTGAGGAATTTGTACGGCGTGAGCGTTTGTCCCTTCAGGTTTTCTCTCTTGTTCTGGAACATCAGGGTGATTTCCTTGGATGTGGGTGCTCTGGGGAGGGAAGGGGGAAACCCGGGGTAGGGTAGCCTCTGTCGTGTTTTGGGGAAGGCCTGGGACGACTTACGTGTTTCATCTCTCCCTGATCCCGTCGCCCATCTCAGGGTCCGACGCCCTTTCCTGACCCACCCACCGCAGCCCTCTGGGGTCCCCGTGGCTCCTCTGCCCCTCCCCCAGCCCTTCTTTCCCTGCCACCACCACCTCTATGAGAAGGGACCCACTCTCGTAAATCCCGAGTCGGGCCGAGCGTGCAGTTACGTATCTTCTCTAGATGGTGCTTGAAAGCCACCGGTTCACTTTCAGCAGGTCTGTAGGCGTTTAATTGCTGTGCTTCGGGACAGAAGCATGGATTTCTTTTAAGGGCTGGAAGGGAGGGGGTCACCTGCACCGAAGAAAATTTCACCGGGGCCCGTGGGGCTGGAGCAGCCAGGCGGGTGCACAGAGACACTAGACTTAGGGTGCATTCGGCTTCCAGAGCTGGGGGCTGCAGCCCGGCCCTTCTCGAGCTGCGAAGATCTGCCTCCACGGTTCCGATCATTCGCAGCTCGTTTTCATTTGCTGCTGTAAAAGAGAAATGGCCACAGAAGCGCCAACTGCAGACACAGGCGAGAGGAACAGGCCAGCTTACCTCCTCACACCCCGTTTCCTCGGTGCGGTCAGCTGAAGCCCATGATACCCAATCCGAGAAAAACAGTGTCCTTAACTGAGGGCCTCTCCAGTGCCCCAGCCCCCCCCCCCCCCCCCGCTACACCAGAGATGTCCCCGGAGGAAAGGCTTCGGGGGAGTAGTGGGAAGGTCTTTGTCCGAAGGATGCCGGCTGGAAACTGCAGAGGACAAAGGATGCCTAAACCTCCTTCCTACTTTTCTGAGAGGAGAGGACTCAAGCTCTCCACAAACAATGGCGGCCACCCACTCCTGCAGCTCCAAACTCGTGCTCCTCCCTCGTCTGCGACCCTTTCATCCCACTGGAGTCCGGATGCCAAGTATTACTGCTCCTCCAGCTATCAGCCTTTTTGGGG